AGAGAGAGAATTTTTAATATTTATTTTTTTTCAGTTCTCGGCGGACACAACATCTTTGTTGGTATGTGGTGCTGAGGATCGAACCCGGGTCGCACGCATACCAGGCGAGCGCGCTACCGCTTGAGCCACATCCCCAGCCCCATTTCTGCGTTTTTCTCGGGGCTGAGGGAATAAAGGCAGCATGAAACCCCCAGAGAAGAGGGGGTCAGGGGACAGCGCAGGGCGGAGGGGTCCACAGAAGAACACAAGGATGGGCAGGCAGTGGCCGAGGTCTGCGGGGCGACTTGGGGGCCCTCCCTCCACAAAGCACTTTAAGCTGGAATTTGGGGGCCCAGAGAGACAGAGAAGGCATGGCCTCTTACCCCTGGACAAGAGGGCAACCAGGTGCCAAGGAGTCCCTGAGGAGCCCATGGGAGAGAGGCCAGCGTGGTAGCTCTCAGGGGGTGAGCAAGGGACCGCCAGAGACCAGGAAGCACAGCCCCGGGCACCCCCGGAAGGCCCCCTGGAGATGGTGACCCTGGGCTGGGTCATCACTGGTAAGTGGTGGACCAGAAAAACGTGGCTTTGCCAAGTCCCAGCTCCCAGCCGGAGTCCCTGGCGGGACCAGAGAAGTTATTAGTGGCCCCCGGACACAGCCAGCCACGGCCCATTTGGCGCCTTTCCCGGTCGGTTTTGAAACTGTGAAATGAGCCCAGCCTGCGGGGCGGCCACAACAACGCCCTGACTCTGACGTTAAATTACAGATGGCGTTTTCAATTAAACGGGCGCTCGCAGCGGGTCTAATTTAGCTATCAGTTCTGGTCTGTTCTTTAAGTGCTTTAAAAAAAAAAAAAAAGCCAGCAGCAAATTCTAGGTCTCGGTGGAGGAGCCGGGAGCAGGGAGGGTCCCCAAGGTGGGGCACAACGCCCACCCTCAGCTCCCACGGGGACTCGCACGGCCTCTGGTCGGCGATCACACTGCCCAGCTTCCTGGGTGCGTGCCCAGCGGCTCCCGAGCAGACCCCGCCCTGACTCCCGGCTTCAGACGCCAGCCGCGGCGTCGGGACTGGCACTGCCACGGGGCGCGAAGGCCGTGCCTCTCCCTCTGATTGGAAAACACAGTCCGACGGGACCCTGGAGCCAGGCAGCTCCGAGGGCCGACGTGTCCTCTCGCTGACTCGCCTTGCCAAGTCTGCATCTCTCACCTGCAAAATGAGGACAGACGAGGCCGAGGGCAGCCAGGCCTTCCTGGCCGGCCCTGCTCTGGCAGATAAGCTGTGGGCCTCCCTCTCGCCTTCCCTGGGGACAGGGACCCTCACACCTGTCACTGTGGAGCCTTCCCATGGGGATCCTGCTCATCAGGTCCCGGAGGGCCATGGGGTGCTGTCCGTGGTGCTGAAGCACATCTGTCCCCTGGCCTCGGTTCCGGGTCACCTGGCTCTGAAATCCTCACCCCAAAGATGGTCACTTCAGAAAACCTAAGGAGCCCAAATCTCCCCTGAGGTTCTGCCTCCCGTTTCTAAAGGTGTCCAAGGCCCAGGGTGGGGGACGGAAGCCCCCAAAGGAAAAGTGTCAGGTCCCTTTTCTGCCTCCGGTCCGTCGGCCCCGGAGAACCCTCACCCCATGCAGCTAAGCCCAGGTGCAGCCCTGGGCTCTGGTGGCTACCCTCTGGGCCTCTGGTTGTTGACCCCCGGTCCTTCTGGGTACTGGACGGATGGCAGAGGAGCTCTGCCCCGGCCAGTGTGTGCTGGCCCCCAGGGTCCAGGAGCCGGGGGAGCTGGCCCTGGTGGTCCTGATGCACCAGGTGGTCCACTGAGGAGGTG